TGAAAGAAATGTGTTGTCCTATATCTTATGTTATGTAAGTGCTATGGGTTCCTCAATCCTGCTTTCAAGTTTTAGTCGTACCTGATGAAGAACAGAATGACCTGATTTCTTGTATCTCTGGAGACATCTGTGCAGATGAAGGAGCACGGTGCATCAGGCCTCCACTTCCCTTCTTCAACCTGTCATGGCATCAATCCTGCCTTCTGATGTGCCCTCCACAGGGAGTGAATCAGAGAAGTTACCGTGGATTCAACTTACTGTGTCATTCTACTTCTATGTTATCAGTGAAAATATCAATCCATACACCCATACTCATATTTTGACATTCTTTCTCTTCTTTCACTATGGGTTAAGTATTTCTTAGTCCTTCCTGTCCTTCTTTTTTATCTCTCCTCGCTCCCTGCCTCATTTTTGGTTTCGTAGCAACTCTTGGTGTACAGGGACAATGATTAGGGCAGGAGAGAACTGGCTGTAAGACAGGGACAAACTCAGAACTGGGTCATCGTTGCTTCTGTGTGAGGGCCCACTCTGCAGATAAAAAGCTTAAAGACAAGAGAAGAAACTGACGCTCAATACAGTACTAGACATATCTGGGCTACAGACATACTCGTGCAAAGGAAGATTTGGAGCTGCAAGGCAGAGTTTATGTAATAAGAACTGAATAAAACATGTTGCTGCCCTGCTTCTCCGACTCTGAAACCTTCAAGTTAATGATCACCCATTAGTTTTGCCGTGTAGCAGGGATGTAGCTCAGTACAGGAGAGAAGTGTGTGGTCATGAAGGAAAATCTTGGTTGTCCAAAAGAAATCGAATTTTGCCACTTATCCCTTCTCTCATCCTCCCTCAGCCTTGTTTCTCTTTCCAGTGCTTTCCTCTCTTCTCTCCACAGTTGCTTCTTTGCATCTTCCACCCCTTTAGCAGACAGTCTGACAAGGTCTGTCCCACTGGCCAAGCATTCAGCACTCATCATGCGCATCATTTCCTCTCATCATTCTCCCTGGTGTGCTTCTTCCATCTTTCCTGGCTTGTTCACTTGGCATCAAACATTCCACAATACACTCTTTTATTTGTGTGTGTGCTTGTGTATCATGAAAATGGAATATTATTGCTTTAAGTGTATGTAAATCATTGTGATATTAGTTTAAGGAAACCACAAGGCAGAAAAATTGACACTGTGCCCTTACAATAGCCATTCTGTTTTATTCAGCATTAGTTCACTGCTGCCGCTTATTATTAGTGTGTTGGGTATTTTCTCAAATAAGGATGCAAACAAATGCAGGAGCAATCTCAGTTGCACCAACAGTTGTGGTTCAAGGATAAATCAGTAGAGCAATTGGGTGAAGAATCTCTATGTCCTTCACCGCCATCATAGTCATCCCTTCAGACTTTCCACATGCGTGATACTAGATGGAAAATTCCACTTTTATATATCATTCTTGTATTCAACTTGATGCATTTTCTGTGGCTTGTGTCAAAGCTTTATTCCAAATGAGAATGAGCGGTGCCTTGGCCTACTTTCCAAACCATCGAGGAGCAAATAATCAGCATCAGCTGAGGATTTGCTTGGCAGTCTTTCAAACATGAATGCTTGTGAAGCATCTTTCTGTGCAAGCGATGGGTTTTGCTGAGAGACTTTACTGAGAGCGTTTTCACAGCACACAGGGCGAATTCTGAAATCTCTACTGCCATCTAGAGGATTATCCTCAGATTGTTCAGAAAAAACAACAACTTTGTGGCTATAAGAACGTTTTTATAAGAACGTTTTTATAATTTAGAGTATTGTGTAAATTCATGTCATTATTAAATTTTATCTCAATTTGAAACTTGCAATAATGTTTACAAAATTACAATACATACATCTTTCCATTATTATTTTACAAGCCCACCCCCTACTGTACATAAGTAATGCCAACAGTTCTCAATGTGAGATATTGCCTGGCGGTTTATAAATGGACTATTTGTTTTGAGCTGTGGGAAGATATTTCCTTTTTATCATACACTTAACCCAACTCCAACAATACAAATAATAAAAAATTGGAAAGCTAAGGGTCATCATAGGTTTAAAAGTATTTTGATATATTACCCAACTTACTTTTTAATTGATTTATCTTTTTAGAAATATCTCTTTGTGGTCTAAACATATTTCATCCACTTGTTAATGATTGGATGGTATAATGATTTTTCTCACCACCATTTTTTGATTTTATAATTCAACCTTCATTGGACTGAGACGTGGGCTAATATGCTCTTTAGATCTGAGAAAATAGATTGAAAAATGACTAATACCTTTTGCTAACCTTTCTCAGATGCTGTCTGCTGGCTAGACTACGCAGACTGATTTTGCTCATTTATTTATCTTATCCCATGCATACCTAAGACTTAATCCTAATGGCCTTTTCATTATGCTTTTAATTGAGCTGTGAAAAGAGTGTTAACATGTCTCCCACCAGCTTTTAAAGAGTAACTTCATGTAGGATACTGCCTATACACATTAATTTGGAATAGTTAAACCCACATTAAATTCAAAGTGTGTCTATCAATTATTCATTTATGCGTTCTATTGTGGCGAGAAGTACATAACTTGAAAGCAAACCAGGTCAGAAAAAACAACAAATTTCTCCCAAAAACATCTTCTTTGCTTGGGCATGTGACGAAGTATTATCTTACACTTCTCTTTTAGTCAGTACTTCAAAAAACTATGCAAATTTCGATGCACTTTGGTGATTGAATAGATAAGCGTGAATATTTGAATGTAATATTTTAAGAGTTTAAATTAGACACTCAAAATGAACTTAGAACTACGATGTTCAATAGTCTTTTGATTACTTAAGCAAAACAGATCATCTTGTTTCAGGCCGAGACCATGGATATGAAAGATGTGCATGTCCTCTTTATGATGTCTACTCGAAGATTTCATCACTGATTACTGTTCAAAATATGTTTTTCTTCGTCTTGGGTATTCCTCCAGACAGGATGATTATTATACATTGCCTGCTCTGTGTGAATAATAGGATCTAATCAGAATCACTCCATAATCAGCCCCAAGAGGCTTTCGCTTCTATGCAGAGATTCCAGACAACTGTGCGAATTACTTTGGGGTTATGTGAAACTGCCAGTAGATGGCAGTGCTTCCTTATCCTCTCAGATGCAACAGTGGACGGATCAAGAACATACGAAGTTCAAAGGTCAGACAACAGTGCAGTGCTGAGCAGTGGGGGGTCACCTCATAAATATCTCCGGGGACTCTGTCGAGCGGCCAGTGTAGCTAGTGTGAGATTTGCCAGAGGAAAAGGCAGAAGTTCCATTTCCACCTCAGCAAAATGAAATTAAAAGCCCCTGGGATTTCACTCTGACCTTTCCAGCCCTCACTCGTCCTGAGTGATTTCTGAAATATGAGGGGCTAGACGGCGTAGAGCTCTGTTATTTACATAATCCTGTGCTACTTAAAGGTACATGAACATCTGATTGTTAGATAGTTCAAATAAATGAATAATAATTTTTCAATTAACATCTCACCAGCTACCTAATTGACTGTAATTAGCTCTCTCAAATCAGAAAGTAAATCAAAACATTATAACAGTACAACATGTAGCTTAAGTTGCTTCTGTATCAGGCAACATTTTTTTGTATTGTCCAGTACAACTTAGGGCTAAATGCCAATCTTGTTTGTTTAGCATTTGGTGAAGAGGAATTCCTTTGGTTCTCTTCAGACCTGTATGCATTTTATTGGCTTGTGTGGGATTTGGGCAGGAAACCAGAGCTAATGCCCCCTCTCCCACTTCAAACGGATGCCAGGCACCCTTAAATGTCATGGAGTGGTTAGAGAGTTGAAGAAGGTGGGAGGGAGGGGGATTGAAGAGTGAGAAGCTGTGGCTCGCAGGGTGAAAGGGAGAAATCCAACTATGCTGGACTCTTCTCTGTAGCTTATCAGTGTATGCTGGATGTAGCTTTACCAAGGCTGTTAAGCCAAACCAGATGCATTTGAAGTTGTTCTGTGCCACTATGTGTCAGGTACAGAGCCGGGTCAACCTGGGCTTTATGGGAAGATACTGCTGTACAGTTAAAACTCAGGGCAGATGTTCTTGTCTCAATCCTTTGGTTCATTCTCCTAAAAATGTGGGTCTCATTGTGTTAGTTTAAGTTCTCACTTGGATAGATTTCTCCTGGATTTTAGTTTGACAACATGCAGTAGTTTATAGTTGAAGTATCAAAGTCTGCAAGTGTGTGTTCTGGGGTGTGCTGGTCACTGGGAATCCCATAGTGTCTTTCTACTCTTGCCAGCAGCAGCGTTTATAGGATTTTGTCTCATTTTCTCCAGTGTTAATTTGTTTCCATGAAGGCAGCCATGACACATTCTCTCCTTTTCTATTTCTGTGTGGCTTTATTTTACTGAGCAATGAACTTCTCTCCGTGTCTCTCTTTCATTCAGTGCAGAAAAAAGAAAAAGAAGTCTGACCTCAGTTGCTTCTACATTGTTGTTTTGACATTGTAAATGATCGTCATTGGTAAAAAAAAAAAAATCCTGTCTCTCCCCCTCTGTGTCTCTCTGATGGTATACATGTCTACGCCCTGCTATTGCACTGCTGTGTGGTTTTGGATAACTTCTTACTGTATTGTTATGCTCTATGAGGTATGTCATTATGGTTCATCTTTGTTGGTGGATAGATTAACGTGTTGTGGCATGGTCAAATTCAATTTCCCATGCCTGTGACTAAGTCTCTCAAAATCCAGCGTGCCAGCATCAAGCTCCTCCCTCCCTGTGGTTCTGTTTGGCAAGCTGAAAATGCCATCTCTCTCATCATCACAATTATATTGAGCTCATTTGGCTTTGATTACAAAACCATTAAGACACAAATGCATTGGTAACTGACCTATGACCTTTCTCATCATGTTACAAAAGCAAAACTGATCTCATCACTTTTCCTCTCAGGCTCTTTGGACCCCAGGGGTCTGGGTCAGGGTTTGGTAGTGTTTGTGCTGTCTTTCTGTCAGGCATGCATGATCCACTGCCACTTAACAAGGGAGAACTAGGCTGATAAATGAGGCATTTCCGGGTCCAAGGGTTTATTCCTTTACTATAAAGTGGATTACATTATACAGTATTTATCGTACAGAGAAGATACTTGAATAATTCAAAGAAATATTTAGCTCTGAACATCATTCAAGCTTATCTCTACTTGAAGGATGGAAAGGTTGCAGAAAAAATGTACAGCACGTTTTGATTTGTTGCTACATTAAATAATTGTCAGAGTCTAGTTTTTTCTTTGTAAATAAAACAGATGAAGAGGAAACTCTTCAAGCTTACATTGTGGCACCCTCAGGACTTACTCCACTGGATGCTAAAAAAAGAACATCTAATCACTTTTCCAGTGGAGCAAAGCACTGTCAGGTTCTGTGTTTCATATTCTTATATTGTCTCATTTGAAAAGGACTGTACCAAACAAGAGGGGTCACAAGACATAAGGACTTTTTCAAACATCTTTTTTCAGTTTTTCATTTCTTTTTTCTTCACGTTGATGTGCTTTGCACATACATTTACACAGAATACATTATTCATTAATCACTACAAACAATATGTATTTTAGAATTTGAAGGTAAACATTAAAAAAAGTATTTCACAGTATTTCTTGTCAACATTCTCTTAGTTGCCTCTTGAGTTCTCTTCCTCCAATCATTAGATGGTCATCAGCTTACGCTGTGGAGGGGTTTCCTTGGTGACAACACCCCTTTCTGGGGAAACTGTTTGCACGGGATCAGGGCTGACTGAGTTTTGCAGGAACAGTGGGGAGGTCAGGATGGGTGGAGGCTGACGAAGGACAACAATTTGTGCACAGGGTCCCTGCAGTAGGAGGTCAGTCAGCTCACTGAGTGTGGAGTTGACTACTGATACACCATTCACCTCCACCAGTCTGTGAGGTCAATAACACAAAAACAAAAGTATGTCTGAGATACAGTTCAAATAATTTAGGAAGCCTTAACTCTTAAACATGAACTAAAACATAAACATAAACATCCCACAAAGCTCATCATCGATTTCCTGTTGTAGATTGTATCTTTATTAATGCCCCCCACCCCCACAAACACATGCACATTAACACATGCAAACACAAAACCTGACTTCAAAATATAACCTTATGTTCCCTCATATCTGAGAACAATACTGGTACAGATGACGTGATAAGTGAACTCATTAAAGGATTCTTTACAGCTTTTGCGATTCTGTGACTTAAGCCATGGTAACATTGTCTCTAAGAGCCCCGACAACAGCTTTGTGTGTGAGTGCATGTGTGATCAAATACTCATGAGCCTTTGTGTACTGCGTTTCTATGTACTTGCTATAATTCCATACTCGCTTAATTTTATCAAGTAGTTTTGTCTGTTCCTTTTTTCTCTCCTCTGCTTCCAAGTATTAGGTTACGTAATGTGGTTTTGAGACATTATCCATGGTATAAAAAAAGTGACTGAGATGAGCAAGATATTGAGCGCTGCTCTCGCTACCGCTAAGAGTCTTCTTGTGTTACCTGTCTTCCACACATAGGTTGGAGTTTTCAACTTCAGCCACTTCCAGCCCACTGCCTTCTCTGTGCAGACATGTAAAGCCATAATGACCGTCATGACTCTGGTTCTCATGCACAGCTATCAGCATGGCTGGAGATTGTGGTGACACCAGCCGGCTCAGGCAACCAAACGTCGAAGCCTTTGTTTGAGCTTTCTCCTGGAATGAGGCAAAGTTCAAATTCACATGCTTATTCACAAAAATAAGGGAATGGTGTGATTTTTTTCCTTTAATCATTTATTCTCAAAAAAACTCCCCCATAGAAATAAATCAAATTAATAGTTACTTGGCATTTAAGCTGTTTGTCCTTCTTTGAGTTAGGTGAACTAAAAGATGTGTTTGGCTGTAAAGCTGGAATTGTCCTACTCTAACAGAGATGTGACCCTGGTTTTGATCTTCATCGTATAAAAAGTTTATAGTCACCGCAGAGTCCATGTTCTGGTTTTGACTTTATCAGCATTATGTAAGTAGAGAATAAAGCATTACTGAAAGGGTCAGTCTGATCTGCAGAATTTGTTTAAAGCGTTACCATCTTTATCTGTTGCATGTGATTTTCAGGCTCTTATCTTAGCAGAAATAAAATAGGATTTTTTTTCCTTGAAAATGTCCAAATATCATGTGACTTTTGATAACGAGACGGGATGTATCTTAAATGTACATAGTATTACTAAAGCCAAATGTTCAAAACTCTGTCGACATATTTTCCATGAAACGTAGTGAGACATTGCGTTTCAATGTTGATGTTTCCAGTCATATTTTATTAATCCTTGTAAGAAATGTACAGTCTTAGTCTTGTGTAAATTGGATTAGTTTATTTTTGCCAATGAATGGTAAAAAAAACCCAGTTGTCCTTTCTGTAAAATTTCACTATCACTTAGAGTACATGGAAGTCCGCATGAGATAAAGACTGAGACTGCGTCAAAGCCAAGCGACCACCAAGATATAATGATTAGCTTTAGAAGAGATCACACCACAAGTAGCTTGCAGGGATCAGAAATAACTTGTGAGTCTGACCACTAAATTCCAGAGTTCCCTTATCCAGCCTCTTGGCATACTCCCCTCTCCCCCCACATGGCGTGTGAATGCCTTGCAGCAAAAGCTGCCGCCTTGCAAGGGTCATGGGTCAAAGCTAAGGCTTCTCTCTCTTCAGACAAGTGGGCTAGACAGGATATATCAACGGAAACTCTGCCGAAGCCCCTTGGGGAGCAGACTCTAATATGCATAGTTTTTCTTTCAAGCTTCCTTAATTTTGGACACATGCCAAGAACCTCAGGAATTTTCTTTTCATATTGTACTTGTTTATCGACAAAATGTGATCAAATCCTAGCTTACCTGTGCCAGACACAAAGCACTTATCATATATCCTCACTAACCAGAACAAGAGAATCCATTAAAGCTCTGTTACTCACGATCAAAAAGGCTATAGAAGGCATTGAAGTCACTCACTTTTCCTAATGAGAAAACATTCACACTCACACAGCAAATTTCTCTGATGTTTAGGAAAATATAATGGACAATAAATTAATACTAGACAATCTGACCATACATATCTTTTACAAATTTAAGCAAAACTGGGGGGAATGTAGTTGTTTCCAAAACATAAGAGCATGTCAAAGCCAAAAAGTGGAAGAGTCCTTTTAAAACTCTTTCCATCTTCTAATAAAAAATGAAGTTGGGGAAATTTTCCCAATTCACCTATAATAATCAGCCTGAAGTCTTTGGCTCATCCAAGCTAAACTGCTTAGTCCTTTTTGCATTTGCTGTCCTCCTCTGGCCCTTAGTCTGTGCCTCTGTTTTCATTTCTCCTCTCCTCTCAGCTGCTTTATTGATGTTCTCCAGTTTCAATAGATCCTGGAGATTAGACTGCTGATGATGAAATATTTCCTTATTGTGTGTAATGCAGGGCAGCCTACAAGACCAAACACAGGACAGTCTGTTCCTTATTTGTGCAGCGGCTCTATCAGTTCCCAGGCTGCTCCTCAGCTCTGACCTGTGTGTTAACTCTGATTAGGTCATATGATAAACATTAGCACTGCTGCTTTTCCCACAAACTCAGCACCTAAAAAAGCGTGGCCCCGGGGTGGCAATGTGACACGGGGCACCTTTCAAAGCCAAAGCCGCGTGTGTCCTTTCATGGCACCTCGTTAGGGATTCTCCAAAAAGATAAAAGAGCCACATTTAAAAAAAAGAAGTGGGCTCCATTGGGTATACATGGAGATAGTTTTACACATGCCGGCCCATTTCTCCTTTGCTCTCTCTCAGTGGCTTTTGTCACACATTCAATTATTGGTATGGTCACAGACTCTCGGATGTCAGCACTAAACATCATTTAGGACTTCACTCTGCCGTGTGTAATCATTCTCACATTCCGACTGCACAGCTTGATTAAACAGAGTGGACTGAATTGTGCTTTGTGTCAAATAATAATAGTGTCAAGTGCTGTCTGAGATGCCTTCTCAAATAGCTATGACCATCTTTCTTAAAGAGTGGTCATTCACTCAAGTATTTGTCCACTTGTTCTGCCGTCATTTTATCCTTCAGCTCTTGGATTTTCTGGGAGGAAAATTTGTTCTGATATGGTTAGGAATAAATTAAGCACAGTGTTTTGTCACAGTCTCCAAAAACACCAAATTTGACTCTGTTGTTTCTTACATGAAACTAGGATTTTATTAGTCCATACCAAACATGCCTCTCTCGGTAACTAGAGTTGTTTTGGTGAAAAAATCAGTTTCTCAGTGTATATTTTTAGAAATCAAAACATTCTCTGTCTCAGACATACAGCTTTCCCACATATTGGTGTGACTGTGTTTCACATGCTGTTGATTAAACTCTATTGACTGAGCACCAGGGTTTAAGCATCTATCCTCAGTTTTGCACTGGAGCCAAAAAAATAAATAATAAAATGTAATGATTATCAAGCAAGGAATTAATTCAATCAAAAGTACCTTAATGTAGCATTCTTGCAAAGCATTTTGAAGTTGGGTCGCCTGTCTGTTGAGATGTACGATAGAGATTTCCTTCTTGAATACTTGGCAGTTTATTTTCATTTTTTCCATGAGATGAACCTCCAACTGTCTGAAAAACAAACAAAAATTGAAGAAGGAGGGTCAAAACCAAACATGCAAACAGTTACATTTTGTGCTTTGTGCAATATGTAATGGCAGGTAAAGGATCTGCATTTCTCTCCCCATTCAAAATGGTTCCTTTCTAATTTTTAACAGATCATAGCAAAAGCGATAAAAGTGTATTTTGGTAGACCAGGAAGGAAAGGAACCAGGAACATAATGTCACAAAGCAAAACTAAAAAAATCAAAGATAAGATTATGAAAATCTACTAAAACACTTCATGACTTCAAAATGTAAATAGGAGGAAGTTAAGTCTGAGATTTATTTAGGATAAGGAGTACTTTTATGCAGGTCAGGAGTGAGATTTTAGAAACAATATAAAATATATGAGAATGTGTTTAGAATAAGCACTTGGAACTACTCAGCGATGGTAAAGAAAGCGATTTTAGATTTGGAACAAATTTTCACCATCAAAAACAAATAAACATTTTTGCATTACTCCTGTATTTCAAGAATGCTGTGTAGCTGATGGAAATGGGAAGAGCAAACAGGATAAACCTATTACAACATTTAGGTCAAATTTGGACTCAAGTAAAGTGGCGAGATTTGCAAGGCTGTAAGAATTTGTGTTTTTTGACATCTTGTGTTTTGCTAGTTTTGTTTATCATGATGCAATAATATGGCCTTTCGGGGGTATGTAAATGGTAGGATGGAAAAGAACAAGATTTGGCAGAACCAAACAACTTAGCTGGGCTGTATTATGTGGGAAAGTTACTCAGAGGGACAGAAAAAAGTTTTGTTGTAGGGGTCCGGGTACAAACTTGGAAACAGGAACTGTGATTTTAACCTAAGTCTTTAAATAATATGAGGAAGATGCTGGGATCAGCAGTTGCAAATCAAACAGAGCAATAACATAGCAATCCTTTAAATCTGCTGTCAGTCTGAGGTCACTGGTCACAATATCATGTACTGTGTCTCTGCACCATGAACTGCTGAAAAAAAACATACCCATTATTTATATAAGATAAATATACTACATTGAAAAGACTTTTCAGCACATTGAATAAAAGATGCATGTTGTTTTATTCTTACCCCCATGCTGACCAGGGAATTAAAGTATTTCTACCCCATTGTACAATTGAAGTGGACAGAGTCGTTAATCCACAGAGGAGAACATCTCATTTATGAGCTGAGGTAAAGGAATTTATGCACTATTGAACACACTACTAATAAACAGAAAGAGTGTGCTTACTTCTTCTTGTGAGCAGTTGGGTTGTTAATGTTGTCTCTGAGGGTCTGAAGGCTCTGCCTCTTGTCGTTCAGTTGGCTGTTTATCATCTCCAGTCTTTTTTTCAGCTCTGCAGCACCAAGTGTTTCCAAGTTTACATCTGTATCCATGCTCTTTAACTCTGTGCAAAATGCTACTAGGTCATGGTGGAGCTCCTGGACCTTTTGAATTCAAGGGGATCAACAATGTAACGCATTTTCATATCAAATCAAAATGGAGATTGTAAGCCTATGAGACCTTTTTTTACATATGAGATATGTACCTGGAAGATGACATTTTGTAGCGAGTCCACCTGTTGGTTTAGTTCTCGGATTCTCTCTTCTTTGGCCGACTGGTCCCCCTGGACATTTTTATTACCATTTTCCCAAGGGGTGCTGACTTCAGGACCATTTTGAGCAAGAGTTGGTTTGTCCTGCGAAATGAAATTAAACAGAAAAATAATTTGTGTGTACTATTGCACAGCCTTAAGTATGAGTAAACTGTCAAAGAAGCATACCCTTTTACACAGGTGCAGCTCCAGCTGTCTATTATCTGAAGTTGATGGCAGTAAAGTCCCAATCTGCTGCTCTGGTGAGAGCTCCCGTGGTGAGTCTGTGAATCAAAACAAGTTATCAAATTGTCAACATTGCATGCTTTACACCTTTATGTTTTTGCAAAGATACAAATTGCACTTATCCAAACACCTTGCTTTTCTTTCAGTGCCAGTAGGGCATTTTTGTCAGTCATTCCAAGCATTTTGAAACAAGAGTCCATGATTTTTCCCACTGTTGTTTCCTTTGGGGTTCGGAGATGAACTATCCTCTCTGATGCTGCAACACAACAACTAGTCATGTAGATGCAAGATTTATGCTGATAAAAACAAAACATCTAACATGGTTTATTTATGTAGCTTATGTTTACAATATTTCAGTTACTGCACACAGATTTTATTTTCAACATTCCTTTTTAGCTTGAAACTACCTACCATTAATAGTTATCTCTATCATTTGGGAATTCCTCTGTATCATGTGGTTTTGGCTGTGGTTTCTGTATTGAGAGAAGGCCACAACATCAAAGTAACCTTTTTTTTCTGTTTCGATTGATTTTTTTCGTATATATAGCACTAGGTTTTACCTCAGCTTAAGTGAACGCTGATTCATGTTCAAGCAGCTCACTTGAGGAGAAGACTTGGACTTAGTCATTGTGATCGGCGTTGTACTGAAATCTTCCACATTATGAGGCCCTAAATTCTCTAAGGAAACAAGGAAACATCAAACCACATGCATTTAATTTTACAAATGATTTATTCTTATCTTTATTTGTGATATTAAAAATGGTAAAGGTATACCAGTTAAAGAGCTGAGGGTCTGTGAGATGGTGCTAGGAGGGTGGAGCTCATTATAAATGGCTGACAGCAATTGTTCTTTGTCCTCCAGTGTGACAATATGAAGGGTGGCAAGAGTGTTTGCATCCACCGAGGCTATGTCTCCCCCACAGAGTTTTGCCTCTGAAAAAGAAACTACATTATGATAATAATAAAAAAAGAACTCTCTGGTAGATGACAAATGCTCAGGGATTATTTTAAAAAAGTTTTTGATTTTGTGAAATACTGCAAATATAATCAAACTACCAGTGCTTGATTTTGCCATGTAGCTGCAGGGTGGGTGATTAGACAGCTGAAAAATTATGTCCTACCTCTGATGAAAGGAAGACATTTTTGCAATCCGATACTGGTAAACCATTGGCACACTTCTTCTGTGTTCAACCCACTGAAGGATTTGGTCCCTTGAATGTCTACATCCTGGAGAGAAGATAAGGTTTTACTTACTATTTGTGCAATAATCCAGATGGACATGACACATTTGTCATTAGGAACCCTGCTTGTGTTTGCTTTAGTCTAAAAAAGTGAATTGTTCTATTTTTTTGTTATCATACACGGAAGACCCAATTTAAGATGTCAGTAGTGTGTACATACATTTTTAGAGGCAGTCTTATGCTTTCATGAATATCTTTAAAATCCATAACACAATTATGTCACTGTGATCATCTTCTTTAGGTAATTCTATTAAATCATATTTTATTTGTTCTAATGATGGAGAAAAGGTACAGATATTTAGGACTTAAAATGCTGCTCAAGTTAATAATAAAAACTAATTTAGTCTGTGGCAAAAGTTCAAGACAAAACATGTTTGAATTCCATTGTCTGTTTCACTGGTTTGCTGGGAATAGAGTGTGATTTTTCTGGACATACTTGCTAAGACATGTTACAGCAAATTAGTGTATTTAAACAGTGTCAAAGTCAAATATCCTATGACTGCAACTGGAAAATGTAAGCAGCCCTTCATATATCATTTTAGAATGAGCATCATCAATGACATTTTATTGATTTTTATACAAGAGTGTGTTCATTGTGTAACTAAGGATACTAGTCCACCTTGTCCTATGGGGTTTGTCATGCTGTTAAATGGGGAAAGACAAAAATCAAATAAATTTCCCATAGATTTAACAATTTAGTGTTTTGGGAGTATGTAACTGTATCGGACATCCATTGCATAAAATCAGTCTTTATGATTTCCATGTGTAATTAATGGGGTACAAAAAGAACTTTGACTGTACATAAAGATAGTAAATGAAACAATTGTGCAATCTCCCTAAGGTTCCTTTCTTCTTTTTATGTTCTGTGTTTTAACAAACACAGAGATCGCTAAGGATACAAGCAATCTTGCTTGGCAAATCCTGGACACAAAGACTAAAATCCTCAGACTATTTGCAGAGTCATTGCTTTGACAGATCAAGGGAGCAGGGAAATATAAACAGAGCATATTCTGTAATTGCAGCAGCTCTCAGCTTTGTGCTGATGCCACCCTGAAGGCCTTGCTTTGATGGTTTACAGCACCTTCTCAGGGAAGTTTCCATTCTGATCCGTAGAGTGAGGCATAAATGATGCTGCACAGAGAGCATAAAGCGAAACAAATTATTTGTAAGATACTGTCTGAACAGCATGTCAGTTGGAAATAAAGCATTTATTGTGGGATTCGGAAAACTCGTCTGTTATGTAATATCATACTCACCAACAGTTTTGCGCCGCTGTCGAAGCACCCCTTTCCCTTCCTGGCATTGATTTGTGGTTTTCGTAAAAGTTTGAAAACGGGAACTCGCAGTTATTGTGTCTCCAAAACTGCAGGAGCGAGTTAGTGGTCTCTGCCATTTAAAAAAATGTTAAACTGAAAATGTCTAGAAAATGTTTGGTCATTACACATTCTTCCCTTCATTATCTGTTATACACTGGCACAGCCAAAATCAAAAGCCATTTAAGCTTCATTTGTTGCTATTCCTGACATAAAAGACAATCAGACATATATAGTGCCAGTAGAGTAGATCAACAGAAAAGCTTTTGGAGACAGTCATACCTTTTTGTGAGGAAATGCATCCATCATTGCCATGTTGGAGAGCAGGCAAAGTTCCTCCTTCAGCATGTCAGAGCAGCTCGTATCACTGTTGCTTGGGTCATCTGCATTGTAGCACACAAAGTCAGTCAGTAAACAGAAACATTCATTTTCATGAGCTCAGTGTTAAGCTAGTCTGTTCTTTTGGTTTTTGGCTCTTGTGGCCATTTTTGTGCAGCCACCAGGTCATTTTGAATTGCATTAACTGGTGCTGATACAGGACTCGGCTTAATGGAGTTGCTGGGCAACCGATGAAACACAGTAAAGTGTGTCTGGCTGATGACATGTTTCTCTGACAGTCCAGAGTTCTTTCCCACAGAAAGCACATATTCTTATATTTTCCTTGATCAGTGAGCAAATATCTTTATTCTTTTACAATCATGACAAGGAAGATGAATGAGGCTTGGATAACAACATCAACCTAGACCACGGCTTTGTTATGCCACATGTGGCAGTGATAGTGATATGATTATGGCTATTTGAACTTTTATAGCCTAAGAGGTTGAAGAATCATGATCCCATATCCCTATCAAATTTGTTCAAATGGTTTACCAAACAAAATAGCCAGCATCATTCCCTCATGGCATGTTTTTCATTTGGAACCATTTTTTCTGAAAAGCTGCTTTTGACAAGAAAAGGAGTTCAGTTGGAGTCAGAATCAGATAAGACACTGTAATTGGTTTATGTGTGTCAGCAGTGGAATCTCGTCTGGGTCCCAGGGATGCAGAAGGGAGGGGCTGTGTGCTAGCAGCCGCTTCATCACCTGGTTTTTCTGTGACTCACTCCGAGGAGGATCATAGAGTCTGGTCTGCAGTTTAACAAAGTCAGAACACTCAATCAGAACGCTCTACATGTAAAGCAACTGTCTTGACTGAAAGAGAGAAAAACTATGAGTCTTGGCTAAAAATGAGGACATGTTGGGGCAATCTCCCCCAGCTGACCTCAGACATAACAGTGTGTCTTTGAAATCCTGAGAAAATCACTTCCAGTCTTGCTCCATTACTTTTTTTTTCACCAGGCATGGCCGAAGAAGCTCGAGATGGAGAGCTGTCTGAAAATGGTAATGGAGAGAAGCAGTACACCTCCCCTCACACAGCCCAATGAAAACAAAGGACAGAAAAGTTTAAGCAGGCTGAGGGACAGAGCCTAATGTTGCCTTAAAGGGTGAAATCACTCGCAATGGAGAGATGAACATCATTCCTAGTCGTTATTCCAAGTCGCAGCAGTCAAGACACATCAAAACATGAGTGAACCCTCTCACCCTTGACTGGTTAGCAGAGACAGATTTGAAGAGACTTGAAGCATCCAGGATTTGGTGCATAACACAATAACATAACTATTCACACACAAAGATGCACACATAGTTAAGCAAAGCTTTAGAGTCAGGACATTTCAGCACATTTGTGAAATGGATAGGCAAAAGCGATGCTTATCCTTTCCAGAACTATTGTCTTTCTCGAGTTTGAAAAGAAAGTAAGCTCTTTGAGAGAAGACCGAGGGAGGAGAGCATGCTGAGTCACAGGAACCCAAAACCTGGGAACAGAGTGACCAGCCACACATAGGGAATACACACAATGGCTAAAAGGGGATTACAACAAAGGGGAACTTTGCAGCTCCCAAAGGAGGTATTCGAGGTACTGTAGCCATGTCACATAATGACTGCAATTTTATCTGAATGAAGACCTAAGATCAAAATGAAAAGGTAACATATGAGCTCAACAGCTGGATGAAGCACGTCATTTACCATTTACCCCTCACCTAAATTCTTCCTAATTGGAAACAGGGACATTTGAATACAAATATTACGGTGAAACTCACCCAGGTTGTGCTCAGTGAATGATAAAAGATTTATTCCACTGTTGAATCCCCCTGTGACGACAAAATGAACCAATGGAACACATTCTAATACAGCACATTATCATATCTTTAAGTTTAAACAGACTACTAAAGTAACACTCCAATAGTTTTGTAGCTATATTTGTTTTCCTTGTTTGTTCCTTCACCCATTTTTCAACTGTGCCACTTGTCGTGGTATCACTTATGGACATGGAGAAAAGGATATGATAAAAAAAAAGTATTTCATGCAGTGTTAAGAATTCGTCTATCCATCCAACCACATTCTATAGCCAGTCACACACAGACATACGTGACTGAGCATGCACGCTTTTGGATGGTGGGAAGAACCCAGAGTACCAAGAGAAAAGTCATGCCCAGATGGGGAGAACATGCAAAGTCCACACAAAAAGCCCTCCAGCTGGGATTCAAACCAGTAGCCCTCTTCCTGTAAGGTGCTAGTGCTAGTAATAAGAATGACAAATTATATTCTTTTGAAATTACATGTATTCAAAAATGTACAAAACAGTGTTGATGATAGATTTAGAGATTGTCCCACAAACAGATCTTCCAGAAATATCACTGAGGAGCATACAAGAAATTTTCTTTGAGAATGAATTTTCTGGAAAAACTGTTTTTGCATGTATGGCAAAAACTTCACAGAGGCTCTAACCATGATCATTATAATAATATTTTTATTTTACCAGCTGGTGTCAATTCACTTTTATTGTAAACATAATTTGCAGCATGGAAAATTAACCACAGACTCCATGACTTTGTGGTTTTACCCTCACAGCAAAAGGGTCCATGGTTTGAATCCAGGCTGCAGTCCTTTGGGGTAGAGTTTGCATATTTTGCAGGTAATTTTGGTTCCTCTTCTGTCTACAGACATTGGCCGTGGGTGAACTGGCAACTTAAAATTGACTTATGGTGTGAATGCGCATGGTTGTTTGTGACTGATGTCTTGTAATATTCTGGTGACCTGAGGGCAATGTTTCACATCCCTGGTCGTCAAAGCATACTGCCCTGTGTGTTTCCGAGTTTTCCTGCTCCTGCACACCTGATTCAAGTACACATTAAGAAAACAAATGGATGGAAACTTAACCAAATTAGACAACAAAACCAAGCAACATTTCTATGACAACTCAATGGTCACAGTATATATTTCCCAATTAAGTCACCCTCAAACTACAGTTACAGAAAATCTCACATTTTCTGAACCTTTAGGCCTTAATATGTATGGCTTTGATGCATTGTTTTAAGAAATGATACCTGGCCTACACTATATTGCCAAAAGTATTTGCTCACCCATCCAAATTATCGGAATCAGGTGTTCCAATCACTTCCATGGCCACAGGTGTATAAATTCAAGCACCTAGGCATGCAGACTGTTTTTACAAACATTTGTGAAAGAATGGGTCGCTCTCAGGAGCTCAGTGAATTCCAGCGTGGAACTGTGATAGGATGCCACCTGTGCAACAAATCCAGTCGTGAAATTTCCTCGCTCCTAAATATTCCACAGTCAACTGTCAGCTGTATTATAAGAAAATGGAAGTGTTTGGGAACGACAGCAACTCAGCCACGAAGTGGTAGGCCACGTAAACTGACGGAGCGGGGTCAGCGGATGCTGACGCGCATAGTGCGAAGAGGTCGCCAACTTTCTGCAGAGTCAATCACTACAGACCTCCAAACTTCATGTGGCCTTCAGATTAGCTCAAGAACAGTGCGCAGAGAGCTTCATGGAATGGGTTTCCATGGTCGAGCAGCTGCATCCAAGCCATACATCACCAAGTGCAATGCAAAGCGTCGGATGCGGTGGTGTAAAGCACGCCGCCACTGGACTCTAGAGCAGTGGAGACGCGTTCTCTGGAGTGACGAATCGCGCTTCTCCATCTGGCAATCTGATGGACGGGTCTGGGTTTGGCGGTTGCCAGGAGAACGGTACTTGTCTGACTGCATTGTGCCAAGTGTAAAGTTTGGTGGAGGGGGGATTATGGTGTGGGGTTGTTTTTCAGGAGCTGGGCTTGGCCCCTTAGTTCCAGTGAAAGGAACTCTGAATGCTTCAGCATACCAAGACATTTTGGACAATTCCATGCTCCCAACTTTGTGGGAACAGTTTGGAGCTGGCCCCTTCCTCTTCCAACATGACTGTGCACCAGTGCACAAAGCAAGGTCCATAAAGACATGGATGACAGAGTCTGGTGTGGATGAACTTGACTGGCCTGCACAGAGTCCTGACCTCAACCCGATAGAACACCTTTTGGATGAATTAGAGCGGAGACTGAGAGCCAGGCCTTCTCGTCCAACATCAGTGTGCGACCTCACAAATGCGCTTCTGGAAGAATGGTCAAAAATTCCCATAAACACACTCCTAAACCTTGTGGACAGCCTTCCCAGAAGAGTTGAAGCTGTTCTAGCTGCAAAGGGTGGACCGACGTCATATTGAACCCTATGGATTAGGAACGGGATGTCACTTAAGCTCATATGTGAGTCAAGGCAGGTGAGCAAATACTTTTGGCAATATAGTGTATATAAAAACAACATGATACTGGTAAGGTTGTGGTGTAAAAGTTAATTTGTTTTCTGATTCTTCTGAATTCTGCAGTGGATGAGGATGTGTGAAGTACTGTATGTCTTACAAATCTAGATAGGCTGCCATGCCAGGCCACATACAACAAATCGAAGTAGCCATTAAACACCAAATAACATATATTAGTCAATATTGTCTTTTTGAAATTTAAAAGAAAGCACACATTTAACACCCTAAAGTATAGTATCACACATAAGGGATTGCACTCACTTTTCTTGAGGTATTCATGCAGAGGAGCCACCTGAAAAGCTGACCATGAGAAACTGTGCTTTGTTTTCTCTTTTTTCCCCCTTTCACTTGGCATTGATTCTGTTGGTTCTCCAAGAACATCACTTCTTCCCTCATTAGACTCATTTTCATCCTCTGAACCAGCCTTAGTCTCTTCTAGAAAGAGTTGCCCGGCTGAGTCCTTTGCTTCCATACTGTCCAACTTTTTCTCATAAGTCCCCTCTTCACCAGCAACACAGCTGCCATCACTGCCCGATGTATGTGCCACACTCTCATCTGAATTGTTGTCAAAGAACTGATCATCGTCAACAACATCAGAGGGAGTTGGTGGGATCAGATTGATGGTAGGTGGTGTCAGGAGACCCTCTTCTTCTTCTTCTTCTTCTTCAGCATCCTCTCCATCACTAGGAGTGCTTGCCAGATGGACCTTGGGCTGTAGCGGGAGTGAAGACAGAGGCTTCAGGACTTTCTTTTTTTTCCAAACCCTTCGACAGGCAGACACAGAGCTGGTTGAGTGTGCAATACTATTCTTCGGTTTCACGGGGTCCTCGTCCAGAAGGCTGAAACTGATGTTATGTATCCCCAGATCTTCCACTGTAATCTGGATAACCTCCCTCTCACCTGATCCACATTCATCTGCATGCTGATGCACTGAATCCTCATTAATCATTTCCTGCTCATGCAGAGGCTCCTTCTCATCACACAGACAAAAGCAGCAGAATAATCTCCGCAGAAAACGTTGAGGGCTCCATCTCCACCTTTGAATATGAGTCCCCTCTTCCTCTGCCCCTCGGCTTGCCATTGCAATTGTTCCTCAACGACACGCTGGTTATAGTTTCAGGTATTCAATCAAATCGGACAAATCTTAGCACACAGAGAAAAGTAACGTCCTCCTCTGTGATAGAACACTGTCCTGAGATGGAAGCCACAGCATCTGCATCATGTGTTGCTTAGGAGAACAGTGAAAAAAGAGGAACAATTCACACTCTTCAGGTCAGGTGGGCACTTGAAATTAATGCAAGACTCAATTTGCATGCTTTGATATGATAAGCAGTATCACTTTAGTCAGAAGAATTGATAGGAAAGCAACATCTGGATAAACATGCAAGTAAAAAAAAAAGAAAAGGAAAAGTAACATTCTCAAATATTAGAACAATCCTCTATTTGTATGTTTATACATTGCATGTGTCCTCACCCCTGAGTCCATATGACTGTGCATGGGCCAGGACATGTCTGCATATGATTACAGATGAGTGTTTAATTTCTGTGACGGTCATTGGTGGGAATCTTGTTTGAATATGGGCTAGCGGATGCATGGCTCATCCAACCCGTATGGCAGCATCAGATGACATTTCCCTCATTCCACAAGCCCAGTCCTGTTCTCTCCTATTTGACAAATCATCCAGTATCACCTTAAAACCATTTTACCACACCACCCACGCTGAAGTCATGCATGAATAGCTTATATCCATGCCTTTTTCTCACGCCCAAATAGTGACAGCAGCGTGATATAAATAATTACTCCTCTACCAGTATCCGCCTATCACCTTGCAGTGTCTCTTTGGGGACGAAAGGAAGTGCCACTCTTTATGTCTTTACTCTGCCCTTTGATTTGCCTCAGTTACTTCCACTTCTACACCCATCATAATGAAATATCATGTTGCTGTGTCTCAACATTGAGGACAATCTAAAAGCACAATTGAAAAGAAGACATTTTAATTTTGCCGGGTAGTCTTAGTTTTAAACTAAATATGCTGACCTTCCACAAGCCATGTTTGGTTCTCTATAAGTTTTGTTTATGAATCAGGTAGCACTCATTCATATGGCAAACTCAGTTGAACATTTGATATAAATCTACCAGATTTCCAGGTTTCCTTAATTAAGGTTTTAACAGCACAGCCTGTTTATCCGCAAATAAAATCAGACCTCAGACACACAGTAACTATTCATATGCCAAATTAAATGTTTTTTGGCATTCCCAAAGTTTCTTGTTGCTTTCCATTACATACAACAAACATTGAGAGGCAAGCTCACACCTGACAGGGTTAGCATTATTAAAAATGAAAGCTAGGGTCTTGTGGTCAAGTGGAGGTCATTTTTATAGTACTGCTACTCTTATAACTGAAAGGTACAACCTTACTAAAATTTTAATAGTGGTAAAAATGGTATGCAATTTCAATTTCTTGAATTTTGAAAGGAATAGAACAAAGATCAGATTTAATCTTAGATATCCAGTAAAAATAGAGTGAGCAGCAAACATAACAAAACATATAAATATAATGTTTGGGAAAACCTATCAAAACAATCCATGATGTGATATGTGTTACTGTAGTTGTGAGAACACACAGTCCACACCATTTCTTTGAGACCAACAAAGGGGGGCGGTAGAGAACAGATGCGTTACACCAACAGGACACAAAACAGAGCCCACCATTTCTTTTCAGGACCTCCATTGGTATGTGCATGTCTGGATAAAGTTAAACCACACAAGTGCTTCTCATTCACAGGCTGGTGGTTCTGGCTTCCAAGTATATCTTGATCTGATATTGGCAAGACGTTTTGTCATAATCTGTCCATGTTTTTTTGTTATATACATCAGGAAAAGGAAAAGATTCTTGTGGGATTGATGTCTTCTTTGCAGGGTCATGCCTGAAATTAGTCCAAAATCTGTGACCTTACCTTAAGATTTGTGAAGAATGTGTTCCTTGTGATACATGTTACAAGATTGTGTAAGTGACAGGGCAGACAAAGACAAATGCTTCACAGCTGCTTTAGCCCAGGGCAATAAGCTTCAAAGATGATTGGGACAAACATGGAGAGTCACCAGGCTTACTCAAGCAGTCTCATCTCTCTCTGCATATTTAAAATAGGTGTGGTAATTATTTGCCTTCAACTTACCCTTTAAATTGTTTGATTTGTTTCTGGACCTCACTGGACCTTAGCGCCCTTTGTGAGTTCTTCTGCATGTTCATGCACAGGTTTGTGAGTATCCGAGCATTGTGTTTTAAATGGTCTCTCAAGCAGAGAGCCGTAAACTCTGGCCAGCCCAGAGACGGCCGTGCAGCCAACATCAACACAAGCCCTCTTTTCTAAAACACCCTCACCTCTTGCTCAGCTGCAGCACTGTGAAACATGTTGAACATTTCCTGTGGCAGTCATGTTTCCATAGGCATCAGTCCTCTAGGTCCCTACTCAGCAGTGGGTTCTGTGGTGAACATGACCCTGTTTGGTCATACTGAGAACTCATGCAGGCAAACACACACCCTCCAAAAGAGTCTTTCTCTACACTCGACCCATGGAGGAAGAGAATGCTTTAACCAGTTTGTAATTGCATTTACTAAACAAGACAGCAGCATGAGTCACTTTCCAGAGGAAAGGAATGTCACCTCTTCCTGTAAAATCAGGAGGGATGGAGAGAGTGACTACTTCCGAAAAACATCCTCTAAACTCTTTATATTTTCAAGGATGTTGAGCAGCCACAAGGGACCAAACATTGCGGTGGCACTCAAGCATCAAGGGGGGGTCTACAAAAATAAGCATCTTGAACCAAAGATGTTGAGTTCCTAAATCAACACATCATGAATCAAGTCTTTTCAACATCATTTCCAACGTTTCCCTCAAGCAGATGCATCCATTTTGCTTATACATAGCTTCCTGTTTGTGCTCACCACAACCAAACCTCTTGGAAAGTGTGCCAAATACTTGCAGTTTCCCCTGTGACTGATACCTAATAGCATGAGAAAAGGAGTTCAGAGGAAAGAAGAAAAGGCCGGTGACCTTCAGAGCTCCAAGGCTGAACTTACCACCACCGCCCCCCCCATCAACAGCCAGTCGCTCTTTCCCTAATCAATTACTGTTGGCAGTCAGGAGACCACCAATGATTAGCAGCAGCAAGGCAGACGTGGTTTGGGGGTTGGAGTGTGAGATGTGGGAGGGGGCTATGTGGGACGGGGGGAAGTAAAGGCAAGGAAAGAAAGTAGAAGAGAAAAAAAGGAAAGAGATCCTCTAAACGACTTTGATCAACTTGCTGCTTCAAGAAAGGCGTAACTCATACCCCACTAGTTTAAACGATCCCTCCAGAGTTTTATATATCAGTGACAATGAAAGATGGTATCCTTTAATTATTTGTCTCTCAAACTGTCACACCTCAAGAGATAGCACAATATCCCAAGTGTTTACAATTGAACATGCATGGTAGAAATGAACCCAGACTGATTGACTCAAAGGCAGCAGCGCATATAAACAAAAATCTTTTTTGTTGTTCAAGACTTTGAAGTAGGGGGGGAAATAATTTACTGACTTTGTCCCGTTCCCACACCCAGTGTGGCAGGAAAACTCAACAAAATCATTTGTCTTAGGCTGGCTGATTGGCTTGCAGGAATCTGAGTGTGACTTTGACGATGATGGAAGTTTAATTTGATGAAAGGAACTCTCCCACTACGCCCCACCCAAACACGCAGATAAACACTCACACGCATAAACTTCTCTGCCCGCACTTTCACTCTTTAACTTCAATTCTGATGTTTCCCCCTCAAGTTTGCAGATTTATCTATCTGTAGAGTGAAAGTAACACCGACAGAGGGAAAAGATCTAGAGTCATCAACACCCCTCTCTTCTTTTTGGGTTGACAGAGAGACAGTAAGAGACATAAGCGATATAGACAGGATGGTTTTAAAAAGAGTGATTGAAGAGAAACGATAAAAAGACTTAAGATATGAGCCAGGGAATTTGGGACAGAGCAGCGCTGACTGCACACAACGTGCGGACTACAGCTAGTTCTCACAGACCATCTTTACAAGATGTGGCTTCCTCTGGAGCTCTCTGTGGCTCGCCCTTTCTCCAATTCTCCCCGCACACAATTAATGGCATTATGAGCACCACTGGAGAGCTCAACAAAAACAGTTGTGTCTGTTATTTTCCCATGGGAACACCATTTTGTGTTGATGCCAAGCATTTAGAGACGATATGGTTATCTCTTTTTACTGATGTCCTCCTCTGGGAATTGCCCCATTGCGATAGCTGTGAGAAAATAAATGAAAATCAAATTAAGTTTTATCTATCATTTCAGAACCAACAAGGATAAGCATACTATGTCACTGAGCAAAGCAGGCCAAACTCTGACTGGCAGATTTTTAGAATCTTATTTGCTTTATTGTTTGCTGTGCTCAGTGTCGCCTTTGTCATGGGACGCTTTTCAATGAAAGAAGTTTGGTCACTGCAATGTCAACAGCTGAAGCATCTGAGCCTCTTCGGGAAGACATTTCAAAGGTGCTGTCATGGGTATTTAGAAAGAGGCAGGCAGAGGACAAAAGCTCACCATTGGCAACTTGTCCAATTGTAGCCCCTTTGAGGTTTCCTAACGATGCTTGCTCCCTCATAGACATCAGTGCAAATTAATTTTAACACTCAGTGAAAAGACAGATTAGTGCCGAGAGGATGGCACAAAGAGTGTTAAATATGGCGAGAAGCATGCTAGACCACAGGCCAGGCCTGGGACACATTACCTACAGCTGCCTACTCTGACCTATTTCTACCAGACCAGCTTAAAGATTTTTTAGCATCGTCTATTGTGCGAAGGACCTCGCAAAGCACACCATTGAAGTCGTATGTGTGTGACCCCCTTTGGGCAGGATGCCCTTTGATGTCTCTCATGAAAGCAGAGATGGAGGGTTTAATTAAGTGTGGCAGGTGACTACATGGTCCATATTTATCTAAAAGGTTTATGGCAGATGTTGCAAGAGACAAACGGGAGGAAATACCTCTGTAAAGAATACAGAATTGCTATTGTGGAGAACAATAGAT